ATATTTTATAAATTTTGGGACAGGTTATCCAAACATGTAATGATTAAATCTAATAATATCCGGCACTACGTACATAGCTTTTTCAGGGAACTAATTGCCCTTTTGGGGTTAGACAAATAATGTTAATAGTGATACGTGATGTCGGGTTAAACATTATTCCAGATCTACTACATATTAGCCGGCTGATTATGACTTCTGCGGATAATGGTGTGGAATCAAATCACATAAGCGATTGTTTAATAGTCTTTCTTTAAAACTTGTTTTTTTGATGGATGCTACTCTGAGAATATACTGTTTTTACCTTTTGTCGATTTTCCTTTTCTTTATTGTACAGGAGCTATCTAAACTTGAATTAACGCGATCTTTATGAATACATTATACAGTTAATTGAGCTGGGATGGAGAGGAGGAGCGGAAGACCTTGGAGACCTTAGAGCTTCCTATATAGTGGCCGTCCAAACCATTTGGGACAGCCCAAACCATATAATATTTAGCATCATAATAATTTTAATTTAGTCTTAACTATCGGCCGAAACCAGTGTGGTGTTATTTATCACATGATTTGGACCTCGAACAGTTTAGGCAGTAAATATACCTTACTTTAAAGAATTCAGCAGATGTCTCCCGTAATTATGATAAATTTTAGGCTACACCTATAGAACTTCAATTAAAATCCATGGTGGTGATTATTTTCGCAAAAGTAATTGATGCATTTACATAATTTTTCGACAATCTAATGTAACCATATTGATTTTCTTTATTTTCTATTTTGTGTATTTCTATTTGTATTTCTATTATACTTACAACAAATCAAAGGAATAAAAAAAATAATAAAGTTAAACCTCTTAGGTAAAATAATTAATTTATTCCGTTAATTTGCGGCATAAATTTTTACTTAATATCGTTCATTCTATACTGGTATTACACTGTCAATTTATTGGTATAGTCCCTCGATTGGTGATAATGCTAGAATTTTTTATGTTACGCATCATTTCTAACCAATTGAAAAATAAATCAATTCTTGACGTACTAAATTGATATTAACAATTTTTTTTTGTAATAATTCCCTAAAGACTTTTGATCAAATACTTTAAATTATAATACAATAAAAACCCCAATCTATAATGTAAGCAGGTACCAAGCGAAATATCGAAGAACATCCAACCTACAATATTTTAAGAATGTTTAATTCACAATGTTCAAGAACGACCAATTCATAACATATAATACTGGCCCATAACCAAAAATAGGTAACACATATTAAAGTCCTAAGTCGGGTGTGCGAAAATAAGGAGTACTTCGGTATCTCGCTCGGTTAACCTCACCGAAACATAGGCGCAGAGGGTTTAAATAGGTAACCCCTAGTTGGGTAGTTGGGTTATAGGCATGGTAGCTAGTGTAAAATCTGTAGGATAGAATTTACGGGCAGACTAGTTAAATAGGCAACCAGAAGTTGCAGGTATGGCTAGTCTGGTCCCTCCAAATATGTACTGTGTTTTAATAATGTTCCATGTAATATCACAATCGAATAAAAGCAGATTACAAAAAAAAAAAATAAATAAATAAATAAAAAAATAGGTAACCCATTTTTTGAATTTAATGGTAAAAATGATCGAGCTGAAAATCTCGAAATCAGATGTTTTACGTGTTTAGCATTTAGGCATAAGTTTAATTACAAAATGACACATTACTTTCTAATCTACAAATGACATATAAATTGTCTTGCAATCCTATCATTCATTTCTATCATGTATTTTATTTTTATACTTATTTTTTGTAACAATAAAGCTGACTTTAGTGGCTGATTTCGCATTATTTTTGTGTGTATATTGATACTAACCTACATATGATTAAAATTTTCTTGATAAGTGTAATGTATATCAAAACTGTGTAGTATATACCATATAAAAATTAATTATTAAATTTTTTTCTTGCATGTTTTTAGATGTCTAGAGTGAATAGCTTGAGTTTTTTAATTATTTTACTGCAAGTCTACTCTTAAAAATGTTCATAATAATGTTCTAGTATTAAATTTTTGACTGGGTACAGTTTATGTTACATAACATTGGAGATGCGTACGTAATAAGTAATACATGTCATACAATATCAGATATCAATAATATTTTAAATTTGGCTTCAGAGTTATAATAATGACAGCAGTTTTTTTAAACTGATTCATGGCATTAATGAAATATTTGATTTAGCATACGCGAATTCCTCACGACATGAAACGAAACGCACAAACCTCTCAATTAAAAGAACATGAATCAGTACAGGACACAGATATTGTAAGAAAAAAGGCCAAACCTCTCAATACATCATGCAATACATCATGCAATACATCATGTAGTGAATCATCAGAAGCAGAACCAGCATTTATTGAATTAGATATGCCTCAAGCCCAAGTGTATTACTATTCACCCATTTTTTCCCTACAAGATTGCACGAGTTATTATTCTGATCTAGCATCTCTTTCTCATTGGTCTCGTCCAATCTTTAAAGTACATGGCCACACTTCACCTGCTCACCGACTCACTTGTTCTTTTGGTTCAACACCTGATAAGGTTTATCATTATTCCGGAACTAGTGCAAAAGTTGACTCGATTGAATATCCACCTTCCATAAAAATTATTCAAGAAAAAATCGAATCTATCTTAAACGCAAAATTTAATTTTGTTCTATTAAATTGGTATCAAAATGGTGATGAATATATCGGTGAACATTCGGATAGCGAAAAAGGACTTGTTCCTCAAGGTATTATTGCTTCTGTCAGTTTTGGTACACCAAGAACTTTTATATTTAAAAATAAATCTGATAAGAAATTAAAACGTAAAATTGTGCTTGAGAATGGTTCTATGGTGATCATGAAGGGTACAACTCAACAATTTTGGAAACATACAATTCCAAAAGAGAAGAAAATTAAAGATGGTAGAATTAGTTTAACCTTTAGGCAACTTCAATAACGTTAGTCATGTCAATATGCTTCACGTCATTTTCAAATTTTCCTAATTATTAATTGGCATGATTGAAAAATGACTCAGATGAATTTTTAATGCAGATAATAAACTTGACATTGCAATAATAACGATAAATGAATAAATACTATCTCAATATTATAATTTAAAATATGGACAAAATATGAACATACTAATTTTTTTAATTGGACATCGTCCAAATAACAATACGTACTGATTAATCTCATTAATATTTATGAATCCATGAAGATGTGATTTCTTAATTTATGAGACCATTAATCGAATACTAGAAGTCAACAGTAATCGAAGGAGACTATAAAATTTTTTTTGAAAATTCAAAACTATCAAAATCGATAGTATCAACACGCAAGAAGTTTTGAAATTGATAATTCGGATCCAATTAAAGTACAATATCATATCATTCAAGAAAAAAAATCATAGGAAGCGATCAAAAAACGAAAATAATAAATTTTAATTTGTTTAATCACTTAACTCATAATATTCAATAATGTTTAACTCATAATATTTTATAAATTTTTTTAAAAAAAAACGATTTGCCAGATCCAGATTTCAGTCATTATAAAAAAAGAGATTCATTATCTCAAAATGATGAATGTGCTTTTACATAGTAGTAATTTATCATAGCATTTGCATAATGTTAAATTGGGGTAGCTGATCACCTAATACTGTAATAGGATCAAACATATGTTTAGTCCCATTTATTTTGTATAATGATAGATTTTTTGATCAAAAAATTATTAACGTAATAAAGCAGCTTAAGCAAAAAACATTTTCAGTTGCTTTAAAGTGTAACTTTGCACGGTCCATTAAATGATAGTATATTTGTTCTAAGCAAAGTTCCTAATAAATGTCCTTTAAATAACTACCTTTTAGTAAAAAAAAAAAAATTCAGTGATTTGAAAAATCGGGAGAATTTCTAAGTTTTCATACGCTTTTTCTTTGTTTTTACATATAACGTTTCCTATTTGATCTATAGAGATCTGAAAGTTTTAAACGACACTTAAGAACTTAAAGAATGTACTTGTAGAAAAATCTCCTGGTCGTATAAAATACGAACGTACGTCCGTGCGATCGTACAATCATCAGTTATGGAAAGAATCTATTAATTAATAAGTGCACAAATAAAGAAATAAAAATAAGATTATAAATGTACAAATAAGGAAATAAGATTTAAAGGTCAAAATATATTATGTAATAGGCCTAGCAAGTTCTCTATCTGATTTAAGATATACTTCAGAGCTAAGCTCAACGCGGTTAAATTTAAAATCTACGTACCATAGTTTGCAAATACTTTATATGTAAATAATGTCGTTAATTCCATTGACCTTTTTATATTCCATTACTTGTTTCGATATTTTCAATTTTTTTATTACCTTATTTATATTCTACACCTTTCGTTTCTACTATATTTATTATACCCGTCCAAATAAATTACCGGGGCCTTTCCCATTACCATTTATTGGTTCATACTATCTTAGTTTTCAAAAAAACGGTCTTTTAGGCCTAGGTGAGTTACTCGAATTATTCCACCAGCAATATGGTGATATATTTGAAGTATGGCTTGGAAATGGTCGAAACATCGTTTTATGCAATCCAAAATATATAGTTAAAATACATCATTCATCTACTAAAAGTAAATATATAAAAAGAAATTTAAGTACTGAAGGTAGAGAATATGGTTTAGTTGATAATGGTGTTTTTAATAATAATGATATCCATTATTCTTGGAAATTTAATAGAATGGTTTTTAGCAATGCGTTAATGCGTCCAAAGTTAGATAGGGATGCGTTACAGTGGACTATAGAGTTAGTTGAAGAAATGGAATTATGTTGGCGCAGAATTGGTATTATTATTGGAGAGAAAGACGTAAACGATGTGAATGAAACGTCAATAAAAAGTAATGAAATAAACCTTGTGGGATGGATGCGTAGGTTCACATATGATATGATATATAGAATAGCAATCGGGGTTAAAGGAAATGCTCTTGAATCATACACTAATAATATATGTAAAGTTAATAATCAAGATAATGTATGTAAAGTTAATAATCAAGAAACGGAACAAAATAGTGTTATA